TGGGGTATCAGAAACACGCCATAAAGCGGTGTCATAATTGATTTTAAGAAAAGTTTAGCATTGTGTGCAACGAGCGCACACTCTACATTGCATGCTTCCATAGCATAGATGATTTTAGTCAGGAATTTCAGCAATAGTGCTGGTTTCGCAAATAACAGAATCGGAGCAGTTAAACGTAGACCCTTTACCAACCGTAGTATTGAAGAAGCTCTTCGAGATTGAATTCGCCAAACATCTGAAAAAATCCCGATCTCATGATGAGGAAGAGGCGAGAGAAAGCGACAGAGGCGTCAAGGGAGTTGCCTGGTCGTAGAATGATGACCGAGAAGATGATGGTATACATGCTCCAAAAAATGACCACGATTAGTAAAAAGGGCAACAAGTCCCTCACAACCTGCAGCAAAAGAACAAGTGAGCAAGTTTAACAACAATATCTCAAGAGCAGTCAATTATCTCATAAAAAATCCTTAAGTCACCCTAATTTGCACTTCGTCATACCGGCTAAAAATGCTGTGACTGAGAAAGACGTTGAGGTTTAACACTGTTTAAAGCCAAAACAGCAAAAGCTTAGCGATAAAGTAAGTAAGCCTACCATCCTCCTGATCATTTGCAACTTGGGACCGATGTAGCGGTGAATCGAAAGCAGTTGGAGGAGCTGTTGAAAGGCTATACCAGCCCCAGAAGCACAGCAAATTCGACTGAATTGTTCAAAAGCAAAACTATTTTGGCTCGAGGCTGAGGAAATAAAAGATATTTGCAGCACGACGCCAACCATGTAGAATGCGAATGCGACCAATAAAAACTGGTTGGTCGGCCGATTTGTGAAGTCCCGACATGACATCCGATTTGCTAGAGCCTTACAATTATGAAGTGTAGTGTAAGCATCATCTTTCGCTCTTTTCACATCTAGGCCCACGCCAGCTGATACGTTTGACTTGAGGTTAGCTAACTCTTCTTCTCTTAAAGCCACTATCAGGCCATCAGATGATTATATGGTTTCATAACACATTCAAGCCTCAATAATGATGCACCTTATTAACTTTGAAGCGAATGTTTATCTGACTCAGCAGGATCAGAGAGAAAACATTCAGCTTCCTTACGTTTTTGAGTTGATCAATGCAGAGGGATGTTGTCATGACAATAGTGGCAATTTGTACCGTTAAATAGCCGTAGTCCGCAAAGGTAAACTCGAATTGGAGAGTAATCGCGGAAAGGCAGAAGAGCACCGTATAAGCTGCCTTAAGAGGAAACACAATCCAATTGTTAGGCAGAATAGGACGTTGGTTTGGCATTAAGTCTAGTGCTTGCTGCCTTGTAACATTAAGATCGGGCTACCCATAATGTGGATCATAATTTAATTCACAAAGCGTGACTACAAGGAGAAGTAGGAAGTAGCTAAACGACTGGTTTCGCCATTTGCCTGTTTGACTCCAAAGCAAACAAAAAGAAGTGGGTAAGTGAACGCACGACTTGGTATGCATGGCGAACGCAAGGAGCCTTATAGAAGTCAACGAGTTTAGTGTGATATAGATCCTGTTGCCTACGGTTATTCATCATGGGATTCGAAGTCTGAAAAAGAAAGGAAAATGTCATCCAACGAGGCAACTACTTGCTTCGATTGTATAAAGGAATATAGTTATTTTTTATCAAGCGGATTGTGGGAGTGGGATCGCTATCGGCAATCAATTCACGTAATAACCACTTTTCTTCATGTTAATACTTTCGGCCTTAATAATAATGTTAGTAATAATTGAAATGGGAATTGTTAACACAGTCAGGATAACTCACAGCATACTTCGTTTCATCGTAATCGACAACAAAGGGAATGACGAAAGGACAAATCAAACCAACGACGAGACTGAAATAGAACTGCAAAGTGCCAAATGAGGAAACGGCAGGACTAGTGTATACATTGTTTTACTTTTGAGGCAAAAGTTTCTTCGATCAGTATGGTGTTTAGCTTAGGTAACGCGGTGAAAGATAACCCGGAACAAAATAAGGAACCTAGCTCAGATTTTGGATACAGAGTGGTAGGATGGCAGAATATTGTCATCCCGCTCTAATATCGTGCATAATTAACAAATTGTAATGTTCTTAGAGTTCGTGGAAGCTCGCACTTAAACGTATCTTCAAAGC